CATAAATTTTATAATACATACCTAATACTATTATAAGTACATACATTTATTTACAATACAATTAATTACAATATACGATATATCACGTTACATAATTTAAACGCGTACAAAATTTTACAAAAAAGTTTAATTTTAGGGTATCTGAAATATCAATAAAATTTGAAATTAGTTCATTTTATTTTTATATTTGATAATTGGAACGGAATGCTCTTATAGGAAAAACTAGGATCAAAAGTAACAAAAGCGTAAAAAAGAGATAAGAAAAGTTTATAATATATTTATTAAACTTCTGTATCTTCCTTACACTTGCATATTTTGTTTATAACGTTTTTTTATATAAGTGTTACAACTTACCCTTGTTATTTTTGACCTTAATTAAATGAAACTTAAAATAAATTTAAAATTTTATTCAATTTTTAATTCCTCCTTTCCAATTATCAAGTACATACATATGATGTGTTTATTCCTATCTGTTCATACTTATCATCCTACTTACATCGTTCCTACCTATCCATACTTATTGTCCTACCTACCCGTATTTTTATTTATTTGCCTATTCGGGTACACTTATCTCCACCCGTGTATACCTACATTACTTACTTCATAAATGTGCAACAACCGCGAATATAATATACGTTAATGGCTGCATTTATGCATTCAGCGGAGAAAGCAGCTTTTCAATTGTTGTAAAATTCTTTAATATACAATTGGTTCTTGCTTTGGTTTCTTACGGATTTTAAATGTCTAAACTAATCATGTTGAAAAATTTTACAACAGTTGCAAAGCTGCTTTCTCCGCTGAATGCAGCCAATGTCTAACCATGGTCTATCGCTGATAAATTCAACGGGATGAATTATACTAATTGCGATCATACACTGAAAAAAAAGATTGTCTGCTGCAACAAATTAGATGGTAAAATATGGCCCAGCAATTTTAATTGGCTATAGCAGCATTTTTGGTTGTAGCAGCTTATTTTTGGTTGCATTAGCCTATCCGCAATGTCAGTATAGGATTTCGACAGATTAACACAGCCACGAATTGGCTGCTGCAATCAATTAAAAATGCTATACCATATTTTACCACCTAATTTGCTGCAACAGCAAATCTTCATTTTCATTGTAATAATAATAAATAAGTAATAAACAGTAATAATTAAAACAGCCTTTGCATCTTTAAAATACAAAAAAAAATTAACAAATAAAGGGTTAATAAGAGTCAGCGCAGATAATCAAGCGCAAGTTACATAGA